GCTTGTACGAATTTGACTTTCTGCTTGTACGAATTTGACTGTCTGTTTGTACGAACTTGGTTTACAAAACCTGTAATACTAAATAATATGATTAGGAATTAAATCTTGTAAGATTAAAATTAAATCATAAATGTGTAAGAACTTACAGGCTTTTCTTGGCATTACTTATAATTTTAGATTTATATTTAGAACAGTTGCAAAGATAATATTATTGTAGATTATTCTGTATAAATAGTTTAACAAAAAAATATAAAGGTAAGATTATTGTAGATTATTCTGTATAAATAGTTTAACAAGCAAATATAAAGGTAATATTATTGTAGATTATTCTGTATAAATAGTTTAACAAATAAATATAAATAATTTATAACTATTTAATCAAATGTTAGTATAAATAATTTATAACTATTTAATCAAATGTTAGTATAAATTATTTAAATTAATGAATAGCCAACCATTATGAATCCTTTTAGTTTTATTTCATATGTATTTAATAGCCAGCATAAAAGTTATTAATCGATATATTAAAGTAGATTATTCAAATTTGTAGTATTTTTTTATAACTATTTTTAACCGGTAGTGATGCCATCACCTTTAATTTTTATCAAAATTTAGAGTAGAGTGCTGTTTTAGAAAAAAATAAGGGTTAGATATAAAAGTCCAAATTTTAGTTAGGGTTAGATTTTTGGGTTCTGAACATTTTTGCTTAGTACCCTGACGTGAGTTAGCTAGTAGGTTTTCGAGATACAGTACCCTGGGTGACATCACCCCGGGCAAGTTAGCAATAGTTTTTTTTTTTTTTACACAATATATCCCATTTTAAGTTCGATTAATAGAAAAATAGTTTCTTAATTGGTTAATCAAGATAATTTAACTAAATTCATGAAGTTTCACTATTATAATTGCCGGTTTAATTGTATTATCATTATTTGACCAACGCGTTTATAAATTATTCAAGCTTATAGCAATTTTATTTGATGCTTTTCTTATTTAGATATGTATTATTTGTGCAAATATAGCAAATGAGTATAAAAATAATTATGAATCAATGTATCCAATGATCAGTCAAAATCCGATGCCATAAATCATAGTTTATAAAATAAAATATAGCATGCATATTTTTATGGGCACAGTGATTTTTGTTCATTTTATAGTAAATCCTATGAGATCTTTCAATCACAGTTTTAAACCGTTTCTCCTGCAAATCTGCAGAGATTATTTTAAAATTTTGTTTTTACCAATATATCATGATCCAGTGATCGGAATTTAATGCGTTTGATACTCTTCGATTCGTCTCGACAAGACAATTTGAATGGTGCCAAAATCATTAAATTATGATCACTGGATCAAGAGATATTTGCAAAAAGTAATTTCCGAAATTTAAGTTTTTTCTGCGTCGCAGATAGTTTTTTGCAAATATCTTACTATCTGTGAAGTGGATTTAAAAATTTTGATATCATTCGAACTGTCTCGTCGAGACGAATCGAATGGCACCAAAATCATTAAATTCTGATATTACCATTTAAATAATATTTACCCTTAACCATCTCCCGCAGAAATGTTGCATTTTAATTGGCAACTCACGTAGCACTTGTATTACCTTATAATTAATAACATTTTCATATTCATTTATGACGTATTGTATCATTTATGGTATTATTTTTTGTGTATGTGGTTAAGGCTTAAGATTATTTATAGTTAAAAAATCGATCGTGAATATGTAATCTGCCGCAATCTTCAATTATCTGAAAATCTGTAACCTTAGCGTCATCAGCTTAAAAAATTTCGCTAATAGTGTTAATGATAGGGTTTGTGTATGCTTTGGTTCTGATTATGTTGCATCTGATCTCGAATGTTTCTATTTGACCAGACAGCAAGACTTTTTAGGTTGGTGACGTAAATATCCTATATTCTGATGATGTGACGCAAATCCTTCATTATTAATGACAAATTTTTATTAACATGGCAGAACCAAAATACGACTAAAAATAACCACATCTGAATCGTAGTTAAGAACGTTATGGAGAAGTAATTTACTTCTACATAATGTTCTTAATTACGATTCAGATGTGGTTATTTTTAGTCGTATTTTGGTTCTGCCATGTTAATTAGTGATTGTACCCGTCAAGAAAATTTCTACCTGGGTATTATTAAATTACCTAGTTATCCGGATAATTTATTATACCATATAATAAAAATGTCTACCCGGGCACAGTCTTTGGAAGTAATCGACCAGAATTTGTATTTATGTTCTAAATTTTGTTTTACTGTAGCAAGTGAACATCTAGCAGTGTGTTCAATACACGACGATATCTATTTTTAAATAGAAGAAAATTTGTTTATATATTTTATTACAGTATTGCTGCAAAATAATACCCATGGGTGTTATTCGGAATAACGGACCGAATTAAGTTTAATTCAAGTTGAAATTCGAAATTACACTTCTGGGCGTTATTTCGCGGCAATATAGTATTTTAAATATTCAATTACTAAAATTATTTAAGGATCCAAATCCAACATCTATTTAAGTGGATTCAGAATCAATTCTAGTCTCAAATCTACAGATATTCCGTATTTACTTAAAATAAATGACTACAATAGATAATAATGTGAATGAAATAAATTAAGTATTTATGAATTTGAATTGTAATTAAGTATAAATATCAACAAATTTACCAACCATAATGAAATAAGTGAAATTTTCTGAATGAAATAGAATTGTTTATAAAATAGACAAGATGTATAATGAATTGGGATAGTATTATGAAATTGAATTGATTGCAAATGATTATATTCACAGAATACATCAAAGTTAATGAAATCGCTAGAAACAAGCTAAATTGTTTATGAGCTAATAAGAATTTATTTCATCAGATTTATAATTACCGTTGGCCGCTGTTTACAGTACCCGGGGTCTAATTCAAGAATCTCATTGAATAGTAACGGGTACTATTTACGAACTCAGCAATCACATTGGCGGAGAAAGGGGTACTTTATATCTATATTGTAGGATATTATTTTCGGGGATACTGTAAGCAGTGACCGACGGTAATACCTATACAAATTAGCTGTGCCATATATTATTAATCGTTTTTAGTTAATAATTCGATCAGTTGATTAAGAATGATTATTAATTATTAATATCCCCATCACTAACTATAGTTTATTAACAAGAGTAATACCTGAACAAATATCAATAATATCATTATTCGTACTAATGATTTTTATCTAAGACACTCTAATAATATTTATACGATTAGAGTGCCTTTTTCCCTCGTGTCACTCAAATGAATAGTCAGAATCAGTGAAGGAAATCTGAAATCTTTTTTTTGTTTTTTTGAGAACATAAAATTTAGAGTTAATGTTCTTATTAATAAAATTTTACTATATTCAAAAAAATACAGTCATACCTCTCTAAGTGCACCCTCTACAAGTGCACACCCTCTCTAAATGCACGCTCAAGTGCCGGCCCAAATATATACATGACCTCCATAAATGCACCCCTTCTTACTATTCTCTATATGCACGTTATTAAAGTGTGGTCCCAAGGGCGTGCACTTAGAGAGGTCTGACTGTATTATGTTCTCAAAATATTATTAATTATATTAAAAATTAAAAAATTTTATGTTCTCAGAATGAGAACATAATTTTTAAATATTATGTTCTCAAAAAATGTTTTAATGTTCTCAAGAACGTTGAGAACATTAGATTTCCAACACTGGTCAGAATTAGTGATTTAAGCCACATGATTTTGGTCGGCTGACTTAGCCAGCCGACCAAAACATCGGCAAGGTGGCTGGATAATGGCAAACTAATAATCTATTTCCAGAACATTTCGGAAAAATTTTGTTTTGTGTTCTTTTCAGGTTTCTACGTCAGGGACACAGAAATTTTTCGAAATTAATTTTTTGAAATAAATCAAAATTTTTAGCCAGAATCGAAATTTTTTGAAATTTTGACTATAAAAAGTCACATGGAAATGATATTATTGGTCAATTCTCACCTCACATGATGATCGACTACAAATTAACCAATAGCAAACAGGGACACAAAAATTTTTAAAATCAAAAATGCATGATAATCAGTTCAAAAAAAAAAAAAGCATTCTTTGAATTCTTTGAACCACTGAAATAATCCACTTGGATTAGAAGAAGGGAAATATCACACTGACTTCTTTAATCACCACGGCCTTTAATAAAGAAAGGCGAATCTTCGATCATTTTCTAGAAACCTACAAAATAATTAACTAGCTTATAGTCATGACTTCTAAATCAACCAAGCGTATCACCCCATACACCCGCCAAAAAGAGTTTCCAAACACCTTCAACGTTCTTAATAATACGTTGGTGTGTATTTGCTGTGAACATTCAGTTAGTTGGGAACATAAAGTTAGCATTACAACTCATGTTAATTCAAAAACTCACAAAAAAAATAAGCAAAACTATGATGCAGCGGCTCAAAATAGCCAGTTTCAAACTTTGGAAGATTCCTTTTCTGATGTAGAGTCTAAAAAAGCAATGGTAAAAGATCTTGTAGAAGTCTTTGTAAAGGCAAACATTCCATTAGAGAAAGTAAATGCACTGCGACCGTTTTTGTAAAGAGAGAGGCTCAGTTCCACAAGCTGATACATTGAGACGGCAATATTTACCAGAAATATATAAGAAGGCTTTCAAGACAAGCCCGTAGCTATAATTATTGATGAAATGACTGATAGCCGAGCCCGAAGTGTTGTAAATATTTTATACAATTATCGCAAGAATACTAAACTTGTAGTAGTAGACTATTTAAGCATTGTTAATAATACTACTATTGGCCAGCTTATTGTTAAAACACTAACTGAATGGGCAATACCATTCGACCGTCCACATCTTTTAGTTTCTGATTCAGCATCCTATATAAAAAAAAGCCATCGTGAAGTCCTTAAGCCAATTTTACCACAACTTGTACATTTGCCCTGTTTGGTGCATATTCTTAATCTCATTAGGTAAGAACTTTTTAATTTAAATTATTATATTAATGATTATTGTTAGATTAATATTATATTTATAATTAGTCAAGCATGGGTGTTGATTTTGCAAATGGGTTTGATTAAAACCTTATTGGCGAATATTAAAAAAACGTTTGTATATGCGAAAGCAAGACGCACAAGGTATATCAAGTTTTTAACAAGAAATGGTGTTGAAAAACCTCTCTTTATACGGATACACGTTGGAACTCTTGGTTCAAAATGGCAATTTATGTAAACAACTATCATCAACATATTCGAACCTTTTTTTAGAGGAGCATTTAAAAGATTCAAATGAAACAATTGAAACATTATCTGTATTTTTTAATGATCCGTCTAATAATGGTTGTGCACAAATTTACTTGTATTTTATTAAGATTTATGCACAACAATTTATTAATGATTTAAACTTTTTTCAACACGAATATCTTCCTTTGTTTCCATATATTGAAGAACGCTTAAATCAATTAAAAAATCATATTAATAGTGGGATATGATTAGAAAATTTAGATGGGTCTTTAATTTCTTTCATTCGAAATCTTAATTTTGATCCTGAATCATTTTTACCAATATTTAGATCAACTTATGATGCTGCTTCTAAAAAATTTAACGATCATATTTTGAATCATCCTTGTCATTCACTTTTTAAAGCAACTCAAATATTTGATCCAAAATTTATTAATCTTACTTCAGCTAAAGATATTCTTTTTTATACAGTACCGGACAGTAAAACGCATCCAATGTTTATTAGTAAAAACTTTAAAGTGTTATAACTTTTTGAAACAAGTTAAATCAAAAAACCCTCTGACAAATTGATAGATTTTTAGATAAACTACATTTCTGTCAGAGGATTTTTTTTATTCTTTGTTTTGAAAAAGTTATAAAGGATTAAAGTTTATATAAGTTCAAAAAATTGGCATTTAATATAAAAAAAAGAAAACATATATATAATTTTAACCAATCAGAATCAATTACACAAAAATTAGCCAATCAGAATTGATTATATAAGCATCAAAAATTGGCGCCTCTATGTATAGATTGGATGTCTTTTACTGTCCCGTACTGTAATACCTCAATTTATGAATTTTCAGATCCTTCATATGAACTTATTCAAGAATGGGCTGCGTATTGTAATCTAGATCCACTTTCAGTTGAGTATTCAAATTTAGAAGAATTTTGGCAAAAAATTCCACATATTTTACCTTGTTTAAGTCAAATTGCTTTAGATTATATTTGGTTGGCGCTTTCTTCTTGTAGCGTAGAACGTAGTTTTTCTGTTTATAACAATATTTTAAATGAGGATAGAGAAAATTTGAGTCAAGAATCTCTTCGAATGCTGAATATTTTGTATTACAATCGTTCAGAATTTTCAGTTTAGATCAAAATTTTCATTTTAAATAGAATTATAAATAAATAAGTTGAAAGTCTTGCTTAATTTGGTCAAAATTTTTACTTCTAAATGGGCAAAACGTATTAAAATTTTTGTCGAAATAAATCGAAATTTTTACTAAAATCGATCGAAATTTTTACTTCAAATCGAAATAATATTTCCGTGTCCCTGTTCTACGTACTATTTGTAAATCATGTGTTCTTTAGCCGCTTAGCCAGCCGATCACATTATATTGGCTGGCTTAGCCGGTTAAGCCGGCTTAGCCGCGGCTGCCTTAGCCGAACTACCCCAGGATCGCCACCAAAATTTTCACGCTCACGTGAAGATCTACAGGAATTATCCAATAGATGATCGTAATTTGGTGTAACGTAACACGTTCGTTATTGAGAAAATTAGAAAAAATTGCTTGTTTTCCGAAAATTATCATAAGAAAATACCTTCTGCGCTCTAACAAAAAAATTTCCTTGAGCAATTTTACTATACTTACCACTAAATTCTAACCCTTATACTAACCCTAATCCTCCATAAATAAACTTTAAAAAATTTTATGCATATCACGTGAACGTGAAAATTTTGGTGGCGATGCCTACCGATTGACATACCGATTTATATTATAGTTACACAAAATGTAGAACATTCGTTAGAGTGTTTCATATCATTCTAATTACAAACATTGTGCAGGTCACTAAAGAGTTTTTATAATAAATTTTTCGGATTTGAACGCTATAATTATAAAACCATAGAATTTACTAAACCTTTAATTTCTTTCGTAATATTTATCTTTTTTTAATTCTGTAAAAAATAAAAGGTATCTTTACATCATAACATTAGAATTTTATCTTATAGTTAAAATATTTCACGACTTGCTGGGGTGTTTCCTATCATACAATTTGCAAACACAATGCAAGCCACAAAGTAATACGTTGGCCAGATATTTTTACAAAACTTTAATAACTCCTAAACTAGTAAACTTATAAAGTAAAATTGAGTCCTTTTAACGTGCTCTTTAAAGTAACAACGCTATTTATTTTATTTTATATAGTATAAGGTGAAAATTGATTATTAAATCAGCCAATGAATTTACTATATGACCTGCATTATGTTTGTAAATCGTATGATAGGAGATACCTAACATATTTTGATTAGTAAGATAAAATTCCAATGATGTTACGATGTTAGGATACCTTTCATTAAAGAATTAAAAAATGTTAAATATTACAAGAGAATTAAAAGCTTAGTAATTTTATATTTTTTTATAATTATTTATTATAGTGTGCAGATCCGAAAAAAAGGTTAAATATTACGGGAGAAATTGAAAGCTTAGTAAATTTTATGTTTTTATAATTATTTATTATAGTGTGTAGATCTGAAAAATTTATTGTAAAAACTATTAACTAGTGATTGCACTATGTTTGTAATTAGACTGATATGACCCTAACGAAAGTCTATGGTATATGCGTACTACATTTTATGCAACTATAACATAAATCGGTATGCGATCGGTAGGTGCAAATCATGTGAATGGTAGGTGTCCGGAGACTACCCCAGTATCGCCATCAAAAATTTCACCCCCGAAAAAATTCTTTAAGTTCGTTTATGTTAAGGTTAGTGCCC